AACAATAGTGAGGTTGGCCCAGGATCAGTCAGTGTTTCGTTCTGCTGCGCATAAGGTCACTATGGGTTGCTACTGACTCGATGGCACAACAACAAAGCAACAACAACAAAGTTAATCTTAAAGTACAGGAACAGATACCTTATGATCATCAAGGGAGAAGAGCACAAGTAGAATGTGGGGCTCTATCCAGAGAAGCAAGTGACACCAGAAATGGAGGCAGAGAGAGGGAGCAGTTGTGGGCTCTAGACACAGAGAAACAGGCTGTGTGCAGGCAGCCAGGAGGCAGGCTTGCAGAGTGTGTGTCCTTTGGTTGTTTAAATGATAATATATTCCTGAGTGGTTTTATGCACATCCCCATAAAAGGGAACAGAAGCAAATACTGTTGAAAGATGATACAAGGAAGAGACTGTAATCATTGTAATGAAACAATGAGTGTAAATCTGATGTTCTCCCATGTTAACTATCATTCAATTCACAATAAAAACTTTAAGGAAAAAAAAGGAAAGTGGTAGAAGGGACAGGTAAAATTGGAAAAATATATTTTAGATTGAGCTTTCTATGAACAAGAAGATATTTTATAAATGTATCAGGTCTGTACCTGAGTCCTTATTAACATTTGTGGGCTTTATGTGATATTTCCAAACCTTGAGTTTGACAAATAACAGAGAATTCAATGGTAATCTAGAAGTGGAGAAGGGTTTCCAGGTCATTCCGAATTGTTTCCACTTCTGTCAAACTACTCACTTTGGGGACATTAATACAAGCTCATGCTTTCTACTGATGTAGAACATAGAAAGATAACCATGCTGAGATACAAGATCAATATGTGAAACAAGAGCAAGATGAACTGTCCAAGAATCAAATCCTTAGAAAATGTTCATTGTAATAAGTACTTGAAAGATTAAATCTGTAGCCATAGAAAACGCACTGCAATTTAAAAATGTTTTTTTCTATATGTTAAACAATCCCGAGGAGGTTAGGTTACAGTCAGAGAACTTCTTTCTATCAGGTATTCAATGCACATTATTCTCACAGTGAAAACTGCAAAATCAAGTGAAAAACCAGAAATCAATTTTCCATACTCATGAAATGTGAAATTGCTATCCTTTCTTGAGGCATATCCAGAAGTAATCTCTTACCGTACAGAGTCAAAGAACACTCAGGAAGTGGATGTTTTCAAAGCTGCGGTAAAGTGTGAAAAGGAAGCCAAGTCAGCATTTACACTGACAAATTCTGGTGTTACCATGTTGTTATCCCAAGCACTGGACCCAGTCTTCCTTTGGCTGCCAGATTCCATTGCCTTCAGGCTGTCTTTGCACTTCCTTGATATCTGGAAGCTGCAAAGTAATCCTCCTTTTTCTTATAAAATTGACGCCAGAATACCAAGGGAGACAGGAGATGTAGTCCATCTGTTTTGCAGCTGAAGAAAATTGAAAATTGGAATTGACATTGCATGTTAGTTGAGATGCACAGAGAACCCATGCTGTGCCCATAGAAATTCAGAAGCAGCGCCATGGGAGGAGTAAAGACGGGCATGTTGGAATTGAACTAAAATTTAACTGAAATTCAATATCAATTTCAATTTCAATTTCAATTTTTTCCAGTTGCAAAACAAACAGATTATATCGCCTTTTTTCTTTGGTTCCTTGCAGTTTTATAAGAAGAAAAAAGGTTGCTTTGGGACTCCTGGTGATGTGAACAGTAATTGCTCAACTGGACGCAGAGGTGCCTTGTAAGAAAGGACTGGTGAGCTGCATCTGAACAAGTGAAATCCCCATAAAGTACAGCTCTTCTCTGTACCCAAGGGGTCACCAGGAGTGCAGGGTAGATCATTATGTATTATGGCCCTTCTAACCATATTGTTCCATTCTATGGTGTGGCATTGTAGAATAAGCACTAGACTGCCAACCACAAAGTTGCTGGTTCAAATCCACTAGCCACTCCTTGGAAATCCTATACAAGGTCACTACGGATTGGAACCAATTCCACAGAACTTAACAACAACAACAACAATGCCTGTGATTATGGACCCATTTTGAAGTGAGTTGTTAATAAAGCGGGATTATGATAGGACTCAAGATTAAGATGGAGTTTAGAAACCCTATACAGGGTCGCCATGGGTAAAAACAAACTCGACAGCACTTAACAACAACCGAGAATTAAGGAGTCCTGGTGTAGCACTTTAGGATAAGCACTGGTCTGCTAGCCAAAAGGTCACCTGTTCAAACCCACCAGATACTTCTTGGAAACCCTATACAGGGTCACTGATTTGGAACCAACTTTATGGTACTTCGCAGCAACAAGTATTAAGTCTACCCCAACCTCACTAGAAGTTGTGACTCAATTCGCCACCCTTGATTTTCTTTGAGGGCATGGTCTGAGTTTAACATATAGGAAGGCTTTGGCAAAGTTTGTTCTGAGTCTGAATCTTGCATGTGACTCATCACATCAGAGCCCAGTTCATGGGATTTATGGCTCATGGCCTGACTTGATTCACCAGCTCCCACAGCCTCATGAATCAACAGCCTATAACTGGACCTGCCAATTATAATTGGACCTGCCAATTTGGTTTCCTCAGCCCTAGAGACTACGTGGGTGAAGAGAATCCTCCAGAAAAGCCTCTGAACTACGGATGTTAGACTTGTTAGTTTCTACTGTTGTGTAAGCCTTCTCCTCGACAGTTCTGAAGAGATGCTGCAGCGTATTGCAGAACCCTGGGACAGGAGGGAGGAGAGGAATGTGATTGATATCAAGGACAATGGAGTAGTATAATGCATTGGGAAAGTTGGACATCTGGGATATCTTTAACCTCTACCTCATAGGGACCAGCCTGGTGCTTATCTTTCTAAAAGAAATTATTCATGCATTGAGTCAGAGGTGACTATGGCAACTTGGGCTACAGTGCAGTTTCCAGTGGGGTCATAAATGCAAAGCACAGCGTGGCAACTGTCATTTTTTTTTTGCTCAAGAAATGTTAGCTGCTCTGGTTATTGTCCTTTCTGACCCTCATCATCTCTTCAACTTTCCTCTCAAGTATCTTGTTTTAAAACTTACCTAATATTTTTCTCTTCAAATGATAGAAATAAAAGCACTTGACTAGTAATGGAGTCAGTGATTAATACCCACACCTCTTTTGCATTATAGCCAATCTGTGAATCACATTTAAACTGGCTTCTTAAAACAATTTCCAGCACATTCTATTTACAGTTGGATGAAATAGCAATTTTCTTAAAATATAGAGCAGTTTGATCCTAGGCAGAACATGTATTCAGATTCATAAACAAATATTTTATGCAGCATTTAAATATGAACCATACAATCCAAAAATGCCACAAAAATATAAACAAAATAAATTTAGGAATAAAGCTATAGCTAAAAAAAAAATCAAAAGGAAAGAAAAGGAGCTACGTTTTCTATGATACAAGGAAGTGATCATTGGTAAAAATTTGCTTTTGTGAATTTCTTTAAAGGAAGACTGTATCACAATGAAGAAATTGTTTAGCATTACATATCAGGCAACTTTGGTAGTTAGTTATTATTCTGACCTTGTTCTAAGAGCCCCAGCCCAAGAACAGCATCCTGCATTTGTTCAACAACGACAACAGTGTAACCGTGTTGAGTGAGAATGTGCTGGAGGAGTTGAACTTCTGTTTTGCTGGAGGAAGGAGGTCTGTAGAGCATGGCCCTTCTGCCGTGGCTGCCAAAGTGTGTGGCGATTGATTCTTCGATCTAAGAAAAGAAAGAAGGCATAAACATTCCAGAGGAAAAGTAATTCTTTCCCTTGAAGGGCATCATTGATACAAATCAAGGAGCATTCCAGGAGGTAGTCCATACGTTTTAGGGATTCTCTGAAGGGCTAACAATGACGAGCCAACCTCGTAAGTGAGAACTGAGGGTGAACTGAATGTTTCTATTACAGAAAGATCACTCACGGGCTATGAAAAGAGAGAAATTCTAGCGGAATACTGCCGCATACAAATGGATCAACTCCAGCTGAAAATAAAGATTAAGAATGGTAGTACCTAACATCTGAATTGTGTTCCTATAATGTCCTTCTGTCAAATTACCTTTTAACAGTTCTTTGACATATAAACATGGTAGAGGAAATGGACTCAACGAGAATGGCATGCTAAGGAAGGGAAGGGCAGAGAAGCAAACTCACTGCTCTATGGAGGTAGACCATAAAGATGGCTGCTTCTCTCACTATGAAATAGAGAAATAGGAATGCTTCCCAGTGGGACAGAATGACTCTCAAGTGGCGGAAGAGGGGAGTTACTACACTATAATACTTGTGGTTTCTTTCGTTGTTTCCCTCAAATAAACATACCTCTCTCTAATAATGATTCTTAGTACCATTAGTATTGGAAACACATTTGAATCTAAAGAATGCTGAAGTTTACATTCATTTTAGGGTGCAAAGGAAGATAGATAATATGTGTTTTTCTAAAACTTGAGATTAAACGTTGATAAAGGGAAGACATTTTTGATTACTGGAAAGAACAATGAGGTTGCATGGGGATAGGGCAAAAGTGGAGGGAGACTGAAGAGGAAGAGTCAACAAACAAGACAGAGGAAAAGGATAGGAAAGAAGAGGTAAAACATAAAACTATGAATATAAATTTCTTTTAGTGGCCGCTCTAAATAAAACTATCCATTTATTGAAACCCAAATACAATACATACCATGTTTTTTCACTACTTAAATTACTTCATGAAAGCGACCCTGTATAGGGCTTCTGAGGGGCAGCTGGTGAGCTTGAACTGCTGACCTTGCGTTCAAACTGACTTTACAGTCCAGCACATTAGCCCACATCAATCTAATTTTTTAACATCTTGTGTGAACATCTGAGAATGGTACATCAGCAAATTGTGTTTATAGCATTGTATGAAGTACATTTTAATAATGATGAAACAAAACAAAATAAAGCAAAATCCACTGTTTTGGATGGATTATGATTTTAGCAAGTTTTAGGGTTTCTGAGGCTGTAAATCTTTATGGGAGCAGAATAGACATGCCAATAGACATGACTCCATGTTATTATTAAGAAAAGAAAAGACCCTTCTTTTCCTTTACACCCTGTTACCGCTCTGTGCCTGTGCCTCCCTCTGCCTTCTATTTACTCCTCCTTCTTCTCTTCATTTATTAATCTAGCAAACTATAAATTATCCTTAGGTAATCAAACATTGTTCTCTTGGAAAGTTTTAATTAAAATACATACTTCCACTAGCACTTGTGAAAGGAAATTGTGTCTCTCCACATATGAGCTCTTTACTATCAAGGCCTATACAGGTAGTCCCTGGCATACAAGGTATTCGAGTTACAACTAACTGCATTTATGTCTGTTTCTTTTCTTTTCTTTTTTTTTTTTTTGGTACATCTTATCATTAATAAGGAGTCTAGTGGTGCTATAGGATAAGCACTGGACTGTTAAACGCAAGGTTGGTAGTTCAAACCCCCCAGCTGCTCCTCAGGAGAAAGATGAGGCTTTCTGCTCCCATAAAGATTTACAGCCTCAGAAACCCTAAAACTTGCTAATATCATAATCCATCCAAAACAGTGGATTTTGCTTTATTTTGTTTTGTTTCATCATTATTAAAATATACTTCATACATTGCTGTGAAACATAATTTGCTGATGTACCGTTCTCAGATGTTCACACAAGATGTTGAAAAATTAGATTAATGTGGGCTAATGTGATGGACTGTAAAGTCAGTGGGAACCACAAGGTCAGCAGTTCAAGACCACCAGCTGCCCCCCAGAAGCCTTATACAGGGTTGCTGTAGATCGGAGCTGACTCTATGGCACTTAACAATAGCAATAATAAAATAGAATAATAGTGAAAACTAAGAAGAAGAAGAAAAGAGAGATTTGACTTATATCAGAACTAACTTACAATGAGATTGTTGGAACATTATCACAGTAAATTGGGAACTATCTGTTTCATTTGTGCATCCTATGTGAATCACAGTACACAGGACACAATATAGACTAATGCATACAGGTCCTCAGCAAAATAATGGACTTCAGTGTTATATCAAAATCTTTGACAGATATATATGGTGAGGAAAAAAATAACATGGTTAGATGACAAGCCTCTTGAATGCAGGAGTCATATTCTATTTTTCATTCCAAACAAGTTGTTGTCATCTGACATTTAATAGACACAGTATTGTGTTGTCTGTTGTGGAGTTCAACTATAGAGCTTGATCCCCTGACTCAGCACTGTTTGTAGGACATTGGCTAACACCTTCCTCCAAAGAGGACTATGAGGGTTAATGAGTCAGCATGTGTAGAGTCCTGGTGTGGTGCTGTGGGCTAATGCATCAGACTGCTAAGTGTTTTAACTGCAAAGTTGCTGGTTCAAGCTCACCAGCTGCTCCTTGGAAGCTCTATTTAGGGTCTCTGTGGGTTGGAATTGACTTAATGGCACTTAACAGCTACAACATGTGTACAGTATTGAAATGTGCCTGCTACATGCAAAATATGTTATACATTATATGTACATATGTTGTTGTAAAGAGCAGTGGAGTCGGTTTCAACTGACAGCAACTCTATACAGGGTTTCCAAGGAGTGGTTGGTGAGTTTGAACTGCCAACCTCATGGTTCAAACCTACCTTATGGTCCAGTGCTGCTTTATCCCACAGTACCACCCCAAGACTCTCTCTCTCTCTGTGTATATAAATGTGTGTGTGTGTGTATATATATATATATATATATATATACATATATATACATATACATATATATATGTTGTTATTGTTAGGTGCCATCAAGCTGGTAGCTTCAAGGCCAGGATAGCCAGACTTCGTCTCTAATACTTTGGACATATTGTCAGGAGGGACCATTAACTGGAGAGGAATATCATATCCAGGACTGGGCACTGTTTCGTTCTGTTATGCATAGGGTCACGATGAGTCTCCTCTTCAAGGAGCACTCTGGCAATACTTCTTCCAACACAGATCTGTTGGTGATTTTGGCAGCCCATGATACTTTCAATATTCTCCTCCAACACCATAACTCAATTGCATAATTCTTCTATGATCTTCCTTATTCACAGTTCAACTTTCACATGCATATGAGGTTATTGAAAATACCATGGCTTGGTCAGGAGCACCTTAGTCCTCAAGCTG